TGAAGGAAGCCCCACGGCCATTTGTAAGGAAATGAGGAGAATTTGGGGAGCAGACAAGCCAGCGTGCGCAGGGGAGGGAGGGGCTTCTCCCTGGGCCTTTCACAGGGGAGGAGCCTCTGAACCCTTGTCCACAGATAAAAAGGTTGGGGGGCGGAGTGATGAGGATGCCCCCCCTCCAGTGTGCAGTGGGGCTGGGGAGTCTTGGGATCTGGGTGCAGCCTTCAGAGACACTTTTTGCGAGTGGGCGACGTCTCTCCTGGCGGGGAGAGTCTGGGGATGCGGAAGGCCTCCTCTGCGGGGTCTCTGCCGCAGCCGGCGCCAGAGCTTGCCAGAGACAGCGGGGGGGGGGGCTGCCTCTGCTGTGCTCAGTGCCGCGTGGTGGGGAGGGGGTCCTGCCCAGCTGCGGATGCTGGGGGGGGGAACCCCGAGGATGGAGGAGGAATGCGGATCTCTTTAGCTCAGCCTTCGTGGCCCCCTTCTGCCTCCCCCTTTGAATCCATTTGGAACATCGGAATCCATTAGCAAGGCTGGGTAGGAGCTACATTTCCACAAAAGAGGTCAATTTTTATCAAAGGGGGATTTCTGGTGGTCCGAGGGAGGTCAGCCACTGACTAGCCAAGCTTTGTCCCGTTCCCCCCCCCCCCCGGGCAGAACCAAAATTCCGGGTTGTGCCGGGTGTGCTTTAAGGTGTGCTAATAGTGCGGGCATGTGCTGGTTTTTGTACACTGTCCTGAGCTGTTCTTGCCCAAGTGTTTTAATAAATATTTTATACAATATGTAAACAGGTAGAAGGATTCAAATAGAGGATAATGTGAATACCTTTGTTGTTGTGGGAGACCATGCAGTCCGTGTGAAGTGTGGGGAGGAGCACGGGCCCCCTTCTCCTTCGGGGCCCCCCCCTCACTCTGGCTTCTTCTCTTGCAGGGGATGCTCATTGAAGGCCCACCTGGTTCAGAAGGCCCAGCAGTAAGTTGCTTCTCTGCAGGTTTTCCCGTTTTCCTCTGCTTTCCCCTCCTGCTCAGCCCAAAACAGTGCCGTTGTGTATCTCCCACTATTGCCAGACTGAGCATGCAAAAGGCAGCTGTTCCCTGGGTTCAATTGCTTCCATATGATGGGCATGCAGCTGAAAGCATTGCAAGGTCAATTTGACCATACTGAAGTAAACAGATCTTTTGCGTACTTTTCCTGTTTGTTACGTGTCTGCATGTATACACAGATGCACACCCTTCCTTCCTTCCCTCTTGCCCAGCTCACGTTCTTCCTTTTTGTTCCGCATCAGGGTCTTCCAGGGCCTCCAGGAACAACTGGGCCAACGGGCCCGCCGGGGGATCCTGGAGAAAGGGTAAGCTGCCGTAGCCTTGTTGTGCTCTTTTTTTGCTCCCGGTCAGCGTGGACTCGGGAGGGTGTCGGGATGCCGCGTGGCGTCAGAGCTCCCCACTGTCAGCCGTGCAGGGTCTGGGTCTGCGCAGGCACCCCCATCAGCCCTCTCCCCACCACCACACGGCAGTCCGTGGCCATGAGAAAGCAAGAGGACACGGGAGGCAAATCACACCCAGCGCCCCAAGCCACATGCAGCTTGCAGTTCACGAGTGTAAAGCAGTCGGGGGGGGGAACAGCAAGCCCAGCAAAAAGGGGCTCTGACCTCGTCCCTGGATCGCCCGGGATCCGCAGGGGTGCAGCTGGGTTTCTTATTCTTGCTTATTTTTATTTACATCCCTTTCCCCCTCTCATTGCATGAGAGAAATATTGTCAGAGGACTTCTTTCTCTAGAATATGGAATGATTAGCAGAGGAGCGGAAGGTATAGAATTCCAAATAGTACTGCCTGTTCTCCAAAGAGTGTCCAGTTAAGAGACAGAACAATTCCAGAAGGGTTCATGGAAGCTCACATGGGGTGGGAGTGCGGGGTGGTGGTGGAAGTGTGTTTTAACAGGACTCCTGTTTGTTCGGCCGGAGCTTCCTTTGCATTCCCACCCGTGGCCAGCAGGAGGAGCCTTTGCCATCTGTAATCTGAGCAGTTAAACGTGGGGTGTGCTTTGTTTGTGCTTTGTTCAGGCGAGACGGTCCAGTTTGATCTGTCAGGAAACCCCTGACAACTAAACTTTCTCCCCACGTCCATCAACTGACCCTGGAGCCAAAATGTAAACACTTCTGCAAAACATTAAAGAAGATTAACAGATTGTTGTGGAAGCAACCTAAAAAGAGAGAGGAAAGTCATGAAGAACATGGTCTAGTGTTGCCACAGCAGCCTTGGGGGGGGGGGGGCAACCAATCATCCACCCCACCTTTTCTTCTGCCCAGCAAAAAAGAAAAAGAAAAAAGAAAGGGGTACTGTCATGTAAAGGAGATGCACTGGGGTGAATAAAGACCTCAGAGACCAGCAAGTTGACTCCCTCACCCTGGGCATAAGCATTCTTTATCATTTATTTAGTTCCTTTATTTATTTCACTTTCTCCCTGCTGGGGACCCAGAGTGGCTTACCTCATTCTTCTCTCCTCTGCTTTATCCTCACAACAACCCTGTGAGGGAGGCTAGGCTCAGAGTGTGTGACTGGCCCCAGGTAACCCAGCAGCCTTCCTTGGCAGAGGGGGAATTCGATCCTGGGGATGCTGCTGAAAACAGCATCCCTGCCGTGAGTCCACTGCCCTCCCCAACCTTATTTCAGAACCCTTGGTGGGCAACCCTACTGCTTACCTACCTACTTTGCCCTGAAGTTGTGTGGTCCCTTCTGCGGATACTCACCAAGGGGTGTGCGATCCAGCACCCACCCCGATTAATCTACCTCTGCAGTGTGCCGCTGCATGCCAGGTGACAGTGAGTGCCCTGGCAATAGGCAGAGAGGGTCCTTGGCCTGCAAAGGTATTTCTTGCAGGTGGAAGGTTTGCAAGCCACGGTCTGGGTTCCCAATGTCCTGACTCCAGAGCCGGCCTCTGCTTATAACATTTATGTAGGCCTGACACCTAGTGGAGATTTTGGAGTAGTGCAGGCATCATTCACTTCCTGACACCTAAAGTCAGACTGGATCCCTCTAATTCTTGGGGGGTCCTGTTGCGGAGTAGTGCCTCCCCCCCCCACTCACACATACATGTACCTGTTCATCGGAGGGGGGGCCTGCCTGCTCACTGCTTTTAGAAAACAGAATAAATTGATTTCTTAGTGCTGAAATTCCCGTTGACTAGGCCTGTCTCCTCCAAAACATGCCACCAAAGCACTACATTTCTGTTTTGATAACACAGCTCTAGTTAAGGGTGGCATTTAAAAGTGTTAAACAGCTGTTCTTGAAATGCCTTGCCTTTCCCCATTCAACCTTTGCTTCGCCCAAGTGTGAGTCCTTTGGCGTTCACCCTTTCAACGCCTTTTGTCCTCCCTCCCCATTTTGAAAAGATTCTACTGCTGTCATTGAAGCCTTGAGTTCTTGTTGGCACCTCTTACAAGAGGTTTGCTCATCCTTGCTTTCGCAGCCCTTCCTCCAACTGGACAGCTCCCTGCGCTCAGCAGTGCGGATGTTGTGCCGTTTTCTCCTTTGACACGAATGTAACTTGGAGCATATCCCATTGCAGAGCAAGTCAGAGAGTGGTTTTTAAATGGAAGGTACAAATTCCAGTGTGTGGAGTTTTTAGCAAGAGCAGAAGCACCAGCCTGGCAAGATTTTGGCTAAGAAGGACTTCCATTCTTTTAATAAGATCCCATAATTGCACCATTTAGTGATTAGGACCAGGCAATGTAGACTGGTGTGAATGTTACGTTTCAGAGGAGGGGATTGCTGGGGGGCGGCCAAACGAGTAAAAAGGCCTCTGTGAGCAGCAACCAGCTGCAGCGTCTCCTGGGGTGAAGCCTGACCCCGGCAAACGCTTCCAGGCCGGGCCTGGGCTTGGGATGGGACACTTCCTGGGTGCAGAACAGCTTTGCAGGCCTTTGGCCACATCCTGTTCCCAGGGCCCCCCTCAACTTTGGCCAGAGCCTCGCCTCCGTGCAGCCTTGCCAAAGTGCTGCCTCCCCGGGGCTCCTGGTGTCTCTGGTGGCCCAGTAACCATCTTCCCAGTGGCAGCAGCAGCATGGCCGAGCGTGAAAGGCCCAGCGGTGTGGCGCTGACCCAGCTTGTCCCTTCGGCAGGGGCTAGGTCATGGTCCACCTCCTGATGTTTGGTGGCCGGCCTGATTCATCTCGCCGTTGAATGGGAGCCGGTGGGCCTTGCCAGTCCGTTTGGGGATGCCTGGCACTGCAGATGCCAACGCCTCGCCAGCTGACACTGGGCCAGTGTGTGTGATGCTTTCCTCTTGGCATGCCGAGGCACCTGCTCTCACGTGGAGCTCTCTCGCGCGCAGACTTTGCCTCTCGGCTTCCCTCCAAGATGCTGTCAAGCGCGACACCCTTGGCAGCCAGAAGAAACATTTCCAAATCTGGGGGAATGTTTGCAACTCACTTTTGAATGTGACCTTTCAGAGTTCAAGTACAATCCCCGACTAGGCAGCCGGTGTGCTGCAGTGGTGAGATTGTCGGGGCGGCATCTGGGGGGCCCAGCTGTGGATCCCGGCCCGGGCCCAGGAGCTGGCTGGGCGACCCTGGGCCCCTCGCCCGCCCTCAGCCTCGCCTTCCTCACAGCGCTGTTGTGGCAACGGAAGGGGGGGGGAGGAGGAGGATGAAAGCTGCGTTGGGTCCCCATTGGGGAGTAGGGGAGGGTATACGGAAAGAAAAAGAGAAACTTTCCTGGGAGTCAGCGCTACTGAATGCCCCTGAGTAAGATGCTGAGCAGGCCTGCGTAGGATGGCACTGTTAGACCTCTTGGTGTCTTTGGATTGTTTGGGCGGGTATCAAATATAATTTCTCGCACTCCCATCAGCTGTCAAATGATAAATGCTGCTGCCTTCTCCTATTCCAGAGGGCCTTACATGTAAGCCATCAAAGGCAGACAATAGTTCCGAGTTCTAAAGCACTTCATGCCCTGGCCCTGTACAAAGGTGCTGATGAGCATCCTGCACGCAGGCCTGTGGCATGAATGGAAACCTGTTCCAACCCTCAGAGGCCTGATAGCGTCTCAGGTCACCTGTGCAAGATTGCAGAATGTCAAGAGTCCTGCCCTCAGATGAAATCAGATTCAGAGGATGTTAACGCATATGTCTGAATACCTGGGAAATAAGGTAAAGGTAAAGGTTCCCTTGCTCGAAAGCCAGTCGAATCCGACTCTAGGGTTGCGGTGCTCATCTCCGTTTCAAAGCCGAAGAGCCAGCGCTGTCCGAAGAAGTTTCCGTGGTCATGTGGCCGGCATGACTCAACGCCAAGGCGCACGGAACGCTGTTACCTTCCCACCGAAGTGGTCCCTATTTATCTACTTGCCATTTCTTGCTTTCGAACTGCTAGGTTGGCAGGAGCTGGAACTAGAGACAGGAGCTCACCCTGTCTTGCGGCACCTGGGTCTTGAACTGCTGAACTACTGACCTTCCACAGCCTGCAGTTCAGCGTCTTAACCACTTGAGCCACCGCAGCTCCTACCTGGGAAATAGGTGGCGCCTATTCAGCAAATTTGGGGGTGGGTGGAGGAAGTCTGGAGAAGCAAATTTGTTTCTGCTCTAGACCAACACAGATTGTTTGGTGGAGGTGTTTCTTCCCTCCTCGTCTTGCAACTTGGGATGACTTTTAGATTATGATTTCGTACTAACAATACAATTAAAAAATAAAAACTTCAGAATTCAGCATTCACCAGGGAGAGCAGCGGCTCAGTTGTTGAAAGCTCCCTTCAGCAGTGGGGCCCTCCAAAGCTGCCTACGCTCAGCTTGGGGTCCCCCGGACGGGCCACTCTGGGCAGCCATTCCAGAGCCCCCCTCCGGAGGGTCTGAGCCACTCTGGGCCGCTCAGCAGGAGGCTGGGGCCAGGCAGTTGTCCTTTCTCCCATAGCCCTCTCTTGCCTCTGGAGGATCCCGCACGGAGGAGGCGGAGAGGGAGGGCCAGCAGTCCGCTTTGCAGGTCTCGTGACAAAGCCGTTCTGTCCCAGGCTGCCAGCTTTCTACTGGGGTGGCAGGATGTTCACCGGCCAGGATAAATGTCTCCGAAATGTAATGGGCACCGTCTGTTTCCTCCATCTTCAGGGACCTCCCGGACGATCGGGGCTTCCTGGAGCAGATGGCTTGCCGGGACCTCCAGGGACGATGCTGATGCTTCCGGTGAGTAGCAGCCTCATTCTGGGCGCAGCCGTTTGTCAAAGCCCCACAAGGAGTGCACAGATACAGAAGAGAGTCTGCAAGAACACGAATCCAACCCAAGAGGGCCCATGTAGTCCAGCATCCCGTTCCACACGGTGGCCAACCCTTTACTATGGGGGACCAGCAAAGGGGGCCCAAGGAAAAGGCCTTCCAGCACTGGGGCTCAGAGATCTGCTGCCTCTGTATTTGGAGGCTCCCCGTACTCGCCACAGCTTCTAGGGGGACCCGGAGGCCTTTTACAGGGTGGTGCAGAAGAGTCTGGCAGCTGAAGCTTACCAAGCATAAGACCATAAGAGACGCCAATGTTGGATCAGGCCAATGGCCCATCCAGCCCAACACTCTTCTGTGTCACACAGTGGCCAGAAATACCAGGGGGCATCAGGAGGTCCAGCAGTGGGGCCAGGACACTAGAAGCCCTCCCACTGTTGACCCCCCCCCCAAGCACCAAGCATACAGAGGATCACTTGCCCAACACTGAGAGTTCCTATATATACCTTGTGGCTAATAGCCACTGATGGACCTCTGCTCCATATGCTTATCTAATTCCCTCTTGAAGCTGTCCATGCTTGTAGCCACCACCACTTCCTGTGGCAGTAAATTCCAATCACTCTTTGAGTGAAGGAAGGAGGACTTGCCAGATGCCCAGTTCTGCTCAGTCCCATGGAATCACAGGATCATAGAGTTGGAAGGGGCCCTACAGACCATCTAGTCCAACCCCCTGCCCAAAGCATCTCTGGCAAATATTCGTCCAGCCTCTTCTTGAAATCTGCCAGTGAAGGGGAGCTCACCACTTCCCTAGGCAGCCGATTCCATCTTTGACCGTGAAAAAGTTTTTCCTAATATCCAGCCAACACCTTTCGGCATGTGATTTAAACCCATTGCTTCGGGTCCTATCCTCTGCTGCCAACTGGAACAGCTCCTTGCCCTCCTCCAAATGACAGCCTTTCAAATATTTAAAGAGAGTAATCATGTCCCCCCTCAGTCTCCTCTTCTCCAAACTAAACATTCCCAAGGCCCTCAGCCTTTCCTCGTAGGGCTCAGTCTCCAGACCCCTGATCATCCTCGTCGCTCTCTTCTGCACCCTCTCGATTCTGGCCACATCCTTTTTGAAGTGAGGCCTCCAGAACTGCACGCAGGACTCCAGGTGCAGCCTGACCAAGGCAGATTACAGAGGGGCTAGGACCTCCTGCAATTTCGATGCTATGGCCCTTTTAATACAACGAAAGACTGGATTTGCCTTTTTTACCCCCGCATCACACCGACTGCTCATATTTAGTTTACAGTCCACTCTTACCCCAAGATCTCTTTTGCATACACTACTCCCCAGAAACGTATCCCCCATCCAGTATTTGTGCTTGACATTTTTGTGGCCCAGATGTAATACTGTGCATTTATCTTTGTTGAATTGCATCCTGTTTGCAACTGCCCACTTCTCCAGAGTATTCAGGTCTTGTTGAATTTTAACTCTATCTTCCTAGGTGTTTGCTACTCCTCCCAATTTGGTATCATCAGCAAATTTAATGAGTTCTACCCCTTCATCCAGATCACTGATAAAAATATTGAAAAGTACTGGACCCAAAACTGAGCCCTGCGGCACCCTGCTGGACACCTCCCTCCATTCCGATGAAATGCCATTGACCACCACTCTTTGGATGCGGGCCTGTAACTAGTTCCCTGTCCACCGAACTGTCCTATAGTCCAGCCCACAGTCTTCCAGTTTGCCCATCAGAATGATTCCCATCAAGCCTCTGAGTTTGTTGAAGTCTGCCCTACGAAAATCTAAGCTACAAGTATGGCTACGAACTTCCTTGACCCTCCACAGCAACTGGAATTCAAGGAGGACATGGTCACTTCCCCCTAAGGTCCCCACCACCTTCACCCCGTCTACCAGTTCTTCCTTGTTGGTTAATATTAAGTCTAGTATGGCTGAGCCTCTTGTAGCTTCCTCCACCATTTGAAAAAGGACGTTGTCGGCCAGACAGGTCTGGAAGTTGCATGATTCTTGTCGCTTTGTTGAGCCTGTCTCCCAGCACACATTGGGGAAGTTGAAGTCTCCCAAAATTATAAGGTTCTGATGTCTGGATACTCTACCAATCAGTTCAAGGAGGGCAGCATCCATTTCCTGTCCCTGGTCAGCCGGTCTGCAGCAGACTCCAACAACAATACCCTTCATCCTACCTCCCCTTATTTCCACCCATATACTTTCCACGGGGCTGTCAACCACATTCTCCAGAACTTCCTGACATTCTAGCCCTCTCTTCACACACAGCGCCACTCTGCCTCCTCTTCTACCCTTCCGGTTTTTCTTGAAGAACTCATACCCATCCACTACCACATCCCAGTCAGGAGAATCATCCCACCAAGTCTCAGTGATTCCTATTATATGGTAGCCCTCTTTTTGCAAGAGAAGCTCAAGCTCTTCCTTCTTTTTACTCATACTACAGGCATTGCTATATAGGCACTTGTAGCCTTGTACCTTTGACCTGCCCCCGCTGTTTTCTCTTCTTCGTTGAAGTCCCCATGTTGATCGTCCCCTTCTTCCCCTTGCAGCTTCAGTTTAAAGCTCTCCTGATTAAGCTCTCCAGGTTCTTTCCGAACGTTTTCTTCCCTGACCTTGAGAGGTGAGGTCCATCCTGTGCTAGAAGGCCTTCTCTAAGAAAACGTGTCCCGTGGTCCCAGAACCCAAAGCGCTCCTGCCGGCACCACCATCTCAGCCAACGCTTCACCTCGAGTAGGGTCTGTTCTCTTTGCACTCCTCTCCCTGTGACTGGGAGGATAGAAGAGAATACCACCTGTGCCCCCAATGCCTTCAACTGCCTTCCTCTTTAATTTTCGTGATGGTATTCATGGCCGTGTCATTCGTCCCCACATGAACCAGCACAAACGGGTACTGGTCAGTAGGTCTTATCAGTTTTGGCAGTCGGTCTGTAATATCCTGAATTCTGGTCCCCGGTAAGCAACACATCTCTCCGAGTAGGGGATCATAGTCCTCTTTAAATTTTGTGATGGTATTTGTGGCCGTGTCATTCGTCCCCATTTCTCGGAGTAGGGGATCCGGCCTGGACACATTACGTTCCATACCCCTGAGCAGAGAGTCCCTGACGACCACCACTTTCCGTTTCCTTCCACTTCTGTGTGGCTCCATGCCCTCTTCGCTCCCTTTTCCAGGTCTTTGTGGCTCTCCTTCCACTCTCATCTCTGTCACCCTCTCAAGCACCTCAAAACGATTCTTGAGCTCCAGGGGACCAGCGCGTCGTCTCGGTTGACGTCTTCAGGTTTGTACCATAGAACTGAGAGGAGGCTCAGAAGGGAGAACGACTCTTCCTTCTTCTCCTTGGCTTTCTTCTTCACGTTCTTGCAGAGTTCCAAGGCTCTTGTCAATAAAGTCCTCCCCTTCCTTGATTTTCTGGTGATGCTGTCCTGCAGGCTCTGAATGTTCTCCTCCAAACACTTGACCAGCTTACACTTCTGACAAGTGAAGTCCATCTTCTCTTCCAGGAGGCAAACATGGCACACTCCATGCAGGTGACTGGGAAGGGGCCTTCAGTCGACATCATTGCCATCCAAGTATATTCCAAGAGTACTCTGAGCAGAGTTGCGGGGCCATTCGGTGTGCGCCTCTGGCGAGGAGGAGCCTTTTGTCTCAAAAGGTGACTTCCTGCCAAGCACGGCAGAGCTCAGCGCAGTAGGGGGCGGGGCTTGCAATCCACAGCAACCCACTCAGCCCCCAGCAGCCCCCAACACACAATTAGCTCCACACAGAACTTAAACAGAACCACCCTCTAGCAGTCTCCAAAGAACCCCACTCACCCTCAGCTTCTCACACAGCAGCTAGGAAAGGCAAAAGGCAGAAAGACAAAAAAACCTTACCTTCTAGCAGCACCTCACCAGGTGCTCCTTCGCATGCTATCGCCCTACCCGCATGAGCAGGAAGAGGCCCCTTTTCCTTGTCTCAGTGGCTGCCTCCCAGTAGTGACTTCCCAGGGGAGGGGAGAGCTGTGTTAATCTAGATGGGGTGTGCTGCCCTTGAAAGAAGAAGCTTACAGTCTGGCAGTGTTTATGGACCCCTTCCTGTCCTGAGATATCCAGTGACTGGAGGTAGTGAGGAGTGCTTTTTATAAGCTTAGGCTGCTTTTGGGCTGTGGCTGTTCCTGGATAATTGCGTGTTCCCTGGGACATCCAGGCTGGACTACTGTAGCATACTCTATGTGGGGCTGCCTTAGAAGGCGATCCTGAAATTTTGGATGGTTCAGGCTGCAGCACCCAGAATTATTATTATTATGGATTGTCACCATCAGATATTTGATCTAGCCAAGTTCTTGGGAATTCCAGATGTATCTTCGCAGGATTCTTGCTGTTCCAAGTGACACTGTCTTCAGGGACTGAGCTGGTGTTATTTGCTCAATGCCCAGAATGTCCAAGCGTTTCTTGAAACTTCTAGGCACTGTTCCGAGAGCTCCAATGACCACTGGTGTGATGGTAACCTTCTTCTCCCAGAGGTGCTCTAACTCCATTCGTAGGTCTTGGTATTTCATGATCTTCTCCTGTTCTTTCTTTTCTATTCTGCTCTCCCCTGGCCCGTTTGCGGGAAGGGCAGGGTATAAATGCAATGAAAATAAAAATAAAATAAAAATTATCCAAACCCTATTTCTCGTTTTTTCTACAATTGTGATATCAGGGGTTTTATGCTCCCCGTGTTTATCTATTTGTAGTTGGAAGTCTCAAAGAATCTTTGCTTCCTCATTCTCCATGGTCTTGTCTGGTTTGTGCTTCCATGCATTTCTGGCTGAGGGTAAGCCGTACTTCTTGCAAATATTCCAGTGCAACATAGCTGCAGCTCTATCATGATGCCCTTTATAGACAGTTTGAGCAATTTTACTGCAGGCACTGACTATGTGGTCAACTGTCTCATCCTTTGTCCTGCAAAGTCAATGTTTGCTGTCATCCCTGATCTTCATACT